ATACAGTTCATTTTTGCTTTTTTTAAAGTATATATATTACTCATTAAATAAAATACCAATATTACTTCAAGATTTTTGGTTTTAGTAAATTTATTAAATTCATGGTTTAAATTTCTTAGACCTATAATTAGTGTTTTATTATAACATTAATAATTTGATATAATATTTATTATAAATATTTGCAATTGATAATTTGAGGTTTGATAATTTTATGAATGAGGCAATATTGAGAAGTTTATTTAAGGTACATTAAGTATTTTAAAAAAAACAATTGGATAATTTATAACAGATATTCAACAATGTTTTCATTATATATTTTACATATTAATTGGCTTTTTCTTTTTATAAAGCTGGCTTGCCTTTGTGGCAGCACAGCTTGCAGTTTTTGCTGTTCTCAGTGTCCATCATGTCGAAACAGTACAAGCACTCGTATTATGTATGCATTGCTATTGATGCTTGGAACTATTGCCGCTTGTATTACATTGACTCCTGGTTTACAAGATGCACTTAAAAAGGTAATAATTTGAAAATAATATGAAATTAACTTATAGTTTCAATTTAATTGTAATGAAGAATTATACGTATTGGTCATAAATTTTATTTGTTTCTTATAGGTACCATTCTGTGCTAATAGCACAAGTTACGTTCCATCAACATTCACCGTTGATTGTGATATTGCTGTTGGTTATCTGGCAGTGTATAGAATATGTTTCATTATCGCTCTATACTTTTTCTTGATGTCTGTTATGATGATTAAAGTACAAAGTTCTAAAGATCCTCGGGCGCCTATACAAAATGGGTATGCGAAAATAATATAGGATACTATAACTATTAAAAATTATTTGTTATATATGAATGATATTTTCAGGTTTTGGGCTATTAAATATCTCTTAATTATTGGTGGGATAATTGGTGCCTTTTTCATTCCTGAAAAATCATTTGCTCCAACATGGATGTATTTTGGAATGATAGGTGGTTTTCTCTTTATTATTATTCAATTAATTCTTATAGTTGATTTTGCTCATTCATGGGCTGATGAATGGGTTGGTAATTATAATGAGACTGAATCAAAAGGATGGTATGTGCAGTGTATAGTAAATCTATATTTCTTACACAATGTTTACATTTTAATAACTTATATTATATAATTACATTAATATACCAGGTATGCTGCACTCTTAGGAGTAACATTCCTTTTTTACGCTATTGCTGTCACTGGAGTTGTATTACTCTTCGTATATTTCACTCATGTAAGTTTTTTATGGATATTATTATTTAATCGTGTTTACTCTATACCATTATTTTATTTATTTTAATTACAGGCTGACAGCTGTGCCTTGAATAAGTTTTTCATATCCTTTAACTTAATCTTGTGCGTAATTGCTAGTATTATATCAACTCTTCCAACTATACAAGAACATCATCCACGGTCAGGACTTCTTCAATCATCTATTGTTACATTGTATGTGGTTTACTTAACGTGGAGTGGAATTTCAAACAGTCCAGGTATATATATGTTTTCTATTAGTAATGAAGTAATTATATTAGACACCTCAATAGTTTTTACACTGTGTTTTCCTTGCATTTAAATTTAATCATTGTAATTTGGATGGAGTCTTTTAAGATAACAATTTTTGTTATTGTTTACAGATCATGACTGTAATCCTGGGCTTCTCCAAATAATTTATGGTAACGATGCTCATGCACAACAGCTTGTTGCTTTTGACAAAGAAAGCATCATTGGGTTAATTATTTGGTTCAGTTGTGTATTATACAGCTCTTTGCGTACTATATCAAAGTCGTCCAAAATTACTATGTCTGAAAATATTTTGGTCAAGGACAATGGAGCTGGTATGTAAAAAATATTCTATTTAAACCAGTATATGTTGATTTATTATTTCTTACTTTTTTAATGTTCAGTAATTTATAAAAATCTTTCCCGCATTAAAATAACATCTGATACATGATAAGGAATCTAAAATTAAAGACATGTATATTAATTATTGTACATACATATACTAATAGAAAAATAATATATACGCATATATGTATACAATAGAGTTGATTTTAAAATGTTCAGAAATATCAAGCGTGCAAGAAACTGAAAATTTTGATATGAATTCTTTGAAGCTTAAAAAACAAATTGTGTCTACATTTCACCTAATTATATTTTTTATTTAATTTGTTAAATTTTTTCTTCATGCAGTCAGGAATGCAGGAGACCAGGGTCTTATCGACAATGAAGGTAGGCACACCATTACCTTAAAATAAAATTCAAATTTAGTATATTTATTCAAATCATTTCCTATTCTGTGTTCTTGAAAAGTATAGTATCACATTATAGGCGTAATATTTTTATATACTTATGAAAATTTTGTTCGTTATAAGCATTGCATAGACTCATTTTATAGTATTTACTAGTTATAAATCGCCGTAGTTTATTTAGACATATACAAAAGAAATATAAAATACACTTTTATTATAAGAGTTGCACAGGATGTTCGGAAATTAGTGAATAAAAAAGGTTTGAAAGAAGTTATGAATCTCATTTTTATAAAATTTTACTGTGTAATATACTTTCTTGATTCTATCACCAATTAAAGAACATCCGTCATAGATTAATGGTAGTGAGCGTGTGCCTTCTTTCATTGTATTTTATTAGGTGCCCAGGAAGTTTGTATAGTTTGCATACCTTCGAAGCAACAGCATATTTTATTATCACTGTCATCACGACTTGTTTTTTTATCATAATGTTGGTTTTATAAATGCTTTCTGGTTATATAATTTTGCATGGCTTATTTGTTTACCAATAAACGTAATTCATTTATTTTATAATAAAAGAAAATTAGATGAATCCTTTACAAAAACAATTTTTTAGCATGCTTTTATTTAAAACTAATATTTTTAAGATGAACTCTTTTTGGTAATATATTTGAAATTTTGTTAACCTTTCGATGCAAAAGGCGATGAAAAATAATAAAACATTTAGACATCAAGTATAAAAATGATACAAACTTTCTGGAATACTTAATACATATTTCTTATTTTTCGCTTTTTATTTCTGTTACGGAATACAAATATTCAATAGTTAATAATAAACACTTTTACGCACATACGAATTTAATGTATGTGATGATTCACTTTGTTTGCTTAAAAATGTGATGCTACATAATTAAGAGTATGCATGCATTTATTATTATTATGATTTTATTAATCCTAACAGGAAAGATTCCTAAATTCGTAATTGCACTGTATATATTAAGCTCTAAGTTATTTTATCGTTTTCCTAAATGTAACCAGATTATACTCCGGTAGAAGGTCGCAATCCTGATGCAGAAAATGGAAATGAAGCGAAAGTATGGGATAATGAGGAGGACACTGTAGCATATAATTGGAGTTTCTTCCACTTCGTGTTTGCTCTTGCCACATTGTATGTAATGATGACACTGACCAATTGGTATCAGTAAGTATTTTTATTAACACTTATTTTATAAAATAAAATTATATAATTTTAATTACTAATTAATATATGTGTTGAATAATTTTATAGACCAAACGCGACTTTGACTGCTCTGAATTCCAATTACGCTTCAATGTGGGTAAAGATAATATCCTCGTGGATGTGTTTGGGTCTCTACACTTGGTCATTAATTGCTCCTGCAATTTTAACAAACCGAGATTTTTCATAAACTCATGAATGTATTTGCAAAATAAACGGGAGCAGTAAGTAGTAGGTATTCAAATATATAAGACATAGGATAAGCAACGGTTAAAACATTTTTCAAATTGGTACATAAATACATAAGTTTATCATTTTGGAGCTTCCATAAAAATGTCTTATTTAAGAGATTTGGATTGATTGAAATGCAAGTTATGGTCCACTCAAAAGCACCGTGTTCTATTTTGGTAGATTGTAAAATTGTTCAGTTATATAGAAAATTAGAAATATCAGTGTATTTGTTTTTATTATATATGTGCTAATATAAAAGAATTACGTAGCAATGGTTCATTTATGTTTCCTACGACAATAGATACTTTCAGTTTAAAATACTTATACAATACTACTGAGGATTTTAAATATGGACGTAGTTATAAATCGCGATATCGTTATATATAGATGTTGGAATCTGCAACCAACGGGAGTAGATGAACGCAACCAAGTTTATTTAATGACTATCTAATCTGAAATATTAAATTGGAGCTAAAAAATGTTTAATAAGCTCGAACCCACCCGATTAGTAAAGGTGATTTTTATGATCTCCAAACGCTTACTCACTTCTAAATTTTTATTTATTATAATAAGAGTTATTTTTTTCTCTTATTCGTATTTTATATCATTTGAATAACATTAAGTGTATTACATGATACTATCGTATTACTGATTTAAGTTACATGAACTCTAATTGCAAAAAAAAGGAAAATCGAAATCCATGATGAAGAAATAATCTTGCTTAATTAATTTTATTTTTCAAACTTCTATTTTTGTTCATAGTTTTGTAAACGTTGTAAGATAGTTATGGAATTATCGATTTCTACATTTATATACACATATCTTATAAATAAGACTGGACGTTATTAAAAGCAAATAATAAACGATTTCAATCAGAAATGAATAAGGACTTCAATGAAAGCGAGCAAATAAACGTGGTGCAGGCTTGTGACGATTTGAGTTATGATAGTGGGTTGATAGGAAGAAGACACTCACAGGTCTAATTGGTCAGAGTGGAAGAAGATACGCTTATTTTTACACGCATTTTTCACTCTAGTGTGCTATTTGCTGAAGTGCTCACACATGCTGTTAATCTGATCGTGTGACAGTACATCTGAAATTTCAAATAAAATCGGGCGGGTAGAGCATTGTCAGTATTGAATAAAATTAAATAAGATAAAGCAACAAAGGGAGTATCAAGCTATGCAAATCTCTTTTGGAATAATACTCTGTACAAATTCCAGTATTCCAGATTTCATATTTAGTTCAGTTTTTCTATTTGGTTCAGTTCCAATGATAAATGTTGACAGTTTATCTATATAATTAAAAAAAGAAACTGAATTGCAAATGTCAATGTCACAAATCTGTTGATTCTGAAAAGTTTTAACTAAAGAAATATATCTTTGCTTTCTAACACTTGTTTTGAAGCGACTCCTTCATGAACAAGCGTCTGGTCAAATGAAAGATTTTATAACAAATCCCAACTGGTACTTGGAATATGTTCGAAACATTATTTTTTACTAGAAAATTTATATAGAATTATTTATATTTTAATATTAATATTCTTAATTTTAAATAAATTAATTAGATCCAGTATTACCCTTTATCAAACCGTTCCCGTATATGTCATGGACATGGCCGTTAAGTAGTTCATATTAATTATAAAAGAGTTTCGCAATGTTATACAAGTTTATGCTACAAATGTGCACCTAGTGACACTTGAAAAGCGATTTCCACATCTTGGCACTCACCTTGTAAGTCGCAACCAGTTGAAGAGAAGGGCGCTTCCAACATACCCGTTTGTTGCAAAACTTTAATAAACGTAACGACAGACTGTAAAATGTTGCAGAATCAAATTATTTCAAACATAATTATGTCTTTCAGAAGCATTTTGTTTATTCATAGTATTTAATGGAAATTGTTATAATTATAAAAATCAAATATTGCCATAATTAATGAATAATCAACATAAGCTTACATCAATATAATAAATGGTTGTACATTCTACCACAATTTATCTTTTCATTCCTAGTACACGTAAAATATTCCTAAGGATAAAATTATTTTATCGAGATAACATAACAAAACCTTAAGCTTTAATAAGTATAGAAAAATAAACATAGTTTGAGTATCAAATTATTTTTTAATTGTAATTACTGTTTTATTATTTTTAATTCTGTTT